CAGCCTTTCAAGCAGCAATATCAAGCAGCAACAGTTATTCTATTCAGTGACTAATCGAGAACTACTTAGACAAACCAGACAAAACCTAATAATTGAACATATGTGTCAGAAGAGTCACTTCCAAGATTTGTGCCAAAATATTAGCAACAAGCAGTTGTAACATATACACATGCTTATACGGTGTTCGCCGTGAATTTGCTGCTGGTGGTCCGTGAAACAAATTACCAGTCACCGCGGTGAAGAATGAGTTACATGTGCATCACTATTTGATTAGAACACATAAAATGGAAATAAGCAGTAATTTGAACAACAAAATCTAAAAACAGGAAAATTACCAAAAATATAACTGAAAGATGTAAAGATTTAAACATTTAAACCTTCACAATTTTATGTTTGTTTTAGGTACAAAAGGTTTAAAACGAATTTGGGGAGTGGGTTACCTCAGCAGAAGTCCGTACAGAAAAAGAGCTGATGCTTCAGATCCGGCAAGAACAAAAACAAAGTTCACATAAAAGTAAAACGGGTTGCCAATGCCTAAGAAAAAAGGTCAGTAAAATTCCAGTCACTCATTTAGTTCCAGAAAAAATTACCCTCGCAACTAAGAACCGGTGCAGCGCCTTCACCTCTAACCGTTGTCCAGCAAGTCTCGGTTTCGATGCCAAGTTTCTTCGTAACTTGTTGGAAAATCCGGTACATAGCCGATAGCATGACCTGACATTACGTAATACAACATCAGTTTCACAGTACCAATTCTATAAAATGTCTCGTACTTCGGGGTAGACGTTAAACCGTTTCAAGTCATTGATCGTGTGGCCGAATTCCGTTTGGTTGTCGTGCAGGATTTGGAACAGTCCTGCCAAAAACGTAGGTGCCTTGTTCATGGTTTTGAAAAACGAATAATAGAATCCCTAAAATAGTAAAGATAACTATTACTGACCTCTGGTTATGAAGCGTATATTACCATTTCGGTTCTAAACGTCATCTCCCTTTCCAAATCTGACAGATATGAGAAGTGACGCGAATTTTCGAACATATACGCCACGTGATAGCTACAAAGGCGCTGAATACACCTATTAATTTTACACACAACACAGCTTACCGGTGTATGATGCCCACCACAACCACTAAATAAACAAGGTAATTAGCTACATCAAAAAACAGTACAGGCTGATAATTACAATATATCGATGATAACGAGTCATCTTCAAATCAGTCGAACTGACAATGAATTATGTTAAGCTTCTGGCAATTGACTTGCCGAAGTTGCTAAATCACTTAATGAACGCAATGCCGTTCAGAACCAACTCTCTCTTCGCTGACTTGTTTGGCCACTTAATTATTAACTTACCCGTTGCATTACATGCTGACTGACGTACTTATCTGCCAACATGTCGACTCCCATGTTAGCTTACTTACATACGGCATGGCCTATTTATTTACCTACGCATCATCATGTAACGAGAACCGGAGAGGAATTCGCGCTGTAATTTGAAAACAATAGGAATGGCTTCGGCGCAGGAACTGCAAGCAATACTCTCGTAATGACGACTTTACAATGGCACGTTACCAATCCACTAGAAGCTTCAGTATGCGGGTAATGAACTGGTGAAAAAAGAGAGCTGTCAGCCCAGAAAGTAGAAGACGACGCTGGTGAAAATCCTAGGATCTTATCAGTGAATATATTATCGTAGTGCTCATAAGATGTACTTCTTGCGAGCACAAGTTGCATAAAACTCTGATAACGAGTCGAACGTTCAGGAGCTCGTGAAGAACCAGGATAGTTCAACTACTACTTATGTGCTGGTATGTTATGTTATCTAGTTTCTAGTCTTCTTAAATTATGAAGCAGCTGTTACTGCACTACATAATTGACTTATTGCTTACTGATCACCTTACGTACTTATTTTCTTAAGAACTTAATAAATATCTTGTTCACTGTTTAACACATTCAATAACACACTTAACTATATACTTATATGATTACCTGCTCGTATACTTACTAGCTTAACTATTTACATGGTGATTTAGTATTCACTTAATTATCTACTGTTGGCATATTTCTCTACTGAATTACACACCTGTTTACTCGTTGGCATATTTGCCGTATATATCGCTAGCTTACTTCATGTACCTTCTTTCTGATTTAGCTACTGATTACTTACCAGTGCCTCAGAGAACTTACATTCTAATTCAGTTATCAACTATCCTGATACTTGATTCACTAGCTTTACTTGTTTAGTTGGTTCGACAGAACAGCTCAGACGAGAAAAACGCAGTAAAAAATTTCTTCCAATATCAGACGACCAATGGGCGAGGCCAGTTGAACAGCTGGAAAAACCAATAAGAAGTATATCCCTTTGCAAGAAAGAGCACGAATTTTGTCAACAGCTACTGCTGAAGGCATTCTGAAGAATTATTTCCTGCTTGTCAGATATCATTAACTTAGGGCAAGCAGTGCCGTTAAGCTCAAAGCTTCCTTTTCGGTCTAGCGTACAATGAAAAACAACAGCAACCCTGTTTACTCATTCATTCACTTAATTACGAACATGATGTCGCACTGATTTATTTACTCACTTTCTCAGAAACTTGCTAGTAGCTTTGTTGCTTACTAAATTACATATATACTCTCCACTGTCTTAGTCATTTATCAACCACATAACTTACATAAGGACTAATCTGCTGACTAAATATTAGTTTCCTAACTGAATCGCCAACTTACTGATTTATTAGCTTGGCAGCACGACACCGTCTTGCTGTCTTGTATGCTAACTTAACCACATCATGACACTGAATTGTACGCTGAAAGGCACTTATTAGCTGTCTTATCTATTTATATTCTGACTCAAACGTGACTTACTTATGTCGTGACCTACTTATTTACTCATTTAAATCAAAACCAAATTAGATGTTGCCTTGTTTACTTCGTAATTAATTCACGCATTTACACACATGTTTATTTACCTGCTGGTCAAACTGCTCACCTACCAAAATACTTATTTACTTACTTACGTACTTACTCATTAGCTTACCTACATGTTTATTTACCGGCCTGCTTATAAGCTTTCCCACTGATCAGAATATTGATTTTCATCATTACTTATCTGCTTTTACCTGACTACGTTAGTTTGACAAAAGAGCTGGGTGTCCCTCCACCATCACTGCAACAGCCCAAAGGAAGTGCTCGCTTGGCTTTCATAAGCGAAGTTCAGCATGAAGCGCAGCAAATCCATGAAGGAACAGCCTCAGGGAGACACGGTCTCACAAATGAAAAGATCAG